GAAAGAAAGAAAGAAAGAAAGAAAGAAAGAAAGAAAGAAAGAAAGAACTTCCAACTTTCTTGGGTAGAGTTGGCAAATATAAAATGTATTAAGCTCTGCAATTTTACTGTAAAATTAATGACAACATACAATATTTCTATAATCATAAATAGTTCTAATTTTCAAATCCCCAAAGTAAAATTTCACTTTTTTCAGATTCAAGCAGAAAGTCCAATAAGTGGTTTCCAAGTAGAAACAAACCTTAATAAAAACAATCAATTATTTATTTGTTTGTTTATTTGTCAAACATGTACAAGATAACAAGTATAAGTATGAACATAAACAAGAACACAGGGAGTAAATACAGATAAATGGGGACAGTAAGTCAGGGACGGTAGGCACGCTGGTGCGCTTGTTTGTGTACCACCTCTTTAAGGACCTCTTAGGAATGGGGTGAGGACCATGGTAGACAGTTTGAGGTTGAAGCTGTAAGGGGTTGAGGCTGTAACCACAGAGTTGGGTGGGGCGTTTCAGGCATTGACCACGCTGTTGCTGAAGTCGTATTTTCTGCAATTGAGTTTGGAGCGGTTTACCTTGAGTTTGTATCAGTTGTTTGCCCGTGTATTATTGTGATTGAGGCTGAAGAAATCATTGACAGGTAAAACGTTGTAACAGATAATTTTGTGGACTATGCTTAGGTGCTTAGATACTGTGCTTAGAATTTCTACCATTCTTCTACTGCAATCTTGAGTTGTATGGACCCAGCTCTATCTGAAGACAGAGTACAATGAATGTGGGGAGGTTTTGACCAAAGAGCAATGAGCACCTTCAGTTCAATGGTATTGTTTCCACCCTAAGTCTCCTTTCTCTTCTCCTTCTTCAGCAAGAGGTAACCAGTCCAGAGAGCCAGCAACAGAAGCAAAAGTCTTGGAGTACCTTCAAGGCTATGACGCTGAGTTCCCTGCCCACCAAGCCACGGGAGAAGCTGGAACTGCACTCGGCTGACTGGGAAAAGCATTGCATGAGCCTGGATCTGTCAGAGGGTGACTTCCAAACAGAAGTGTGAGCCTCATGGACTCCGTGACTTAGCAGCCTATAAATATATATAAATATAAATATATATATATATATTTTTCACACTGACACTTTGGAAAAATCAAGCAAATCAGGACAGATGAGTTTCTTCCCCTTCTGGTGTTTTTCTGGGGAGACTTTTTTTTAAACTCAGCCCTCTCTTTAGACACACCTCAAGGAGGAAGGCGAGGAGCACCACGGAGGCTGGGCCACTTCCCCAGCTTTCAAGCAGGTGCAGTCATGCTCACCTTCCCACACATCTTTCTCTGCTCCTCTTGCAGATCCTAGAGGGACATATTCCTTTCTGCATCACCAGGTCTCCTACCTCCCCTCACACTCTTCCCATTTCTGCACTGTGGTGCACTGCTGGGACACAAAATCCAATCATATTTGTGGGTCTCCATTTGCCCCTCCCACGGGGCAAAGGAGGGTGGCAAGAGATCCTGCCCTTTCTAGCGGCTAGAGAACCTTCCTTCCTTCCTTCTATCCATCCATCCGTTTCATTCTTTCACTTCTCTTTTCCTTCCTTCCCTCCTTTTCATTCTTTCACTTCTCTTTCTTTTCCTTCCTTCCTTTCCTCCTTCCTTCCCTTTCTCTTCCCTCCCTCCCCTTTTTTTTCTTCCTTTTTTTCCTTCCTTCCCTCCTTCTACTTCCTTCCTTCCTTCCTTCCTTCCTTCCTTCCTTCCTTCCTTCCTT